AGAAGAATCATGGGGGCTGTGGAGTCATTCGACTCCTTTTAAAGAGTCTTTCCCTAGGGGCGCCTGGGGGGCTCAGTGGGTTAAGCTTCCGACTTCGGCTCATGTCATAATCTCATGGCTCATGAGTTCGAGCCCCGCGTTGGGCTCTGTGCTGCAGCTCAGAACCTGGAGCCTCTTTCAGATTCTGTCTCCCTCTTTCTCTGCTCCTCCCCTGCTCGTGCTCTGTCTCTCAAAAATAAGTAAACATTTAAAAAAAATGAAGAGTCTTTTCCTCTTGAATGTTTGTTTTCAGATTTTGAAAATTTTAAACCGACAGAAATGTTGAAAGAGCAAGTCCATCCAACATCAGCAGCAAGTCCTTCACACAGATACACTGATTCTTGACCTTGGCAGCTCTTATTTCTTGACATTGGTGGCTCACAGCCATCACAATGCCTCGTCCCCACATACATCAGCACAAGCGTGTGAACAAGGACCTTCTCCAACATTACCGTAATGATATAGTTATCATACCCCAGGACTTTAACACCAGTCCAATAATGTTATCTGATGAAGTGCTCATATTCAGATTCCCCAATTGTTCTAAAATTGTCTGCTATAGCTCTTTCCCCCTCTGAGGATCATGCTCTGCATTTAATTGTCGTGTGCCTTTAGTCTCCTTTAATCTAGTCTTTTTTTTTTTTTTTTTTTTTTGGTCTTTCTTGTAATTGACATTTTGAAGAGTCCATATCAGATGTCTTGTAAAATGCCCCATGGTATGAATATGCATGGTTGTTTCTTCCCTTGCTTTGGTTCAGCGAGAATACGCATGAGACATGTCGTGTACCCATTCATGCATCACTTGAAAAGGCACATGATGTTAGTTTGTCCCTTTTTGGGGACCCTACATCTGATCACTTGGTCAAGGTGACATATGCCAGATTTCTCCACTGGAAAGCTGCCTTTTCCTTTTCATGATGAGTAAGTAATCCGTAGAGACGTTGCAAGACTGTGTGAATGTATTGTTCATCTACTGATGATCTTTGTCTGGACCCGTTATGATACTGAAGTTGCAAAACCCATTTGTCTCTTGAAGGGCCAGAGCCTCTGCTGGCATGTGGCTTATACGCATGGCCACGTGACTTTCCTCTGTGCGTTGGCCCAAGGGGATGGCTTCATGTGTGTGATAGCCAACGATTGTCCTCAGTGGCCTGTCTCTACCCCTTTTCATTAGCCTTGCCCTTTGCTGTCCTTCGCCACAGGGACCAGCTTCTCTGGCCAGAGAGCCAGTCTGCCACCAGCTAGAGAAACATGGTCCTCTGGGACAGCCCAGTTGAATGGCTGCCAGTCCATTGGGTCAGCCAGCTGGTTGCTGGGAGTGCGTGTGTGTGCGTGCGTGTGTGTGTGTGGGCGGGGGGAATGGGGGGTACGCATGTGGGTAGAAGCGCTGTCTGGGGACTTAGAACCCAGAGGCAGCACATCTGCTATATACCTGGGAGCTGCAGGGTGCTGGGCTCTGGCCTTTGTTTCCATGGCAATGGGCAACCTCATTCTGTGGACTGCTCTTCTCTGGACCAGCTGACAGTCATGGGGCCAGGGCTTTGGGCCAGAGACAGAGGAGGGGGAGGGGGCTCCATCAGACTCTCAGAATATCTTGGAGAAGAGAAGTGCCAGATCCTGCATAGATATCCTGGAGATAAGGACTTTAGACCATTGCCCCCTTCACTGCACTGTAGAACAGACTTTTCCAGAGGGCCCTGCTGCCTCCTCCCTATTTGCTACAGAACGGACTCTTCCATCAAAAAAGTCTGTGACAATACCTAGGTGGCATCAGGGCCCAGCAACTTTCTTATGAATTCAACTCAAGATTAAACAGATTCAGATCCCTGACTTCTTGATCTGATACATACATGATCTCGACCTTCTGTTTACATGCATTATCTGTCTTGCCCCACAAGTCAGCCATCTGACTGGGTAGGTCATTAATATGATTCCTATTTTAGAGGCATAGGAGCTGAGGCTCAGAGGACTGGGGCCGCATGGCTGGTAAGGGTGAGGCTGAGCAGAGACTCAAGAAAACAGTGTCATCTATTAACTAAGAGCATGAGCAACAGTGACAGGCAGAGCTGGTTTCATCTCGACGTTTTCACTTACTAGCTGCATGATTTTGGCAAAGACAGAAGACCACTGATGGCTGAGACTGGGACTCCTTGGGGCCCAGGACCTGCTCTTAGACGTGCAAGTTCAGATTCTCCGTGTCCTCAGTTTATTCAAGGCTCTCGAGGGAATTTATACCAATTGAAGTCCCCAAAGATGGATGTGTCAATGTGACTAAGTTGGGGCCAGTGAGAAGTAAGCATAAGTGATAGACTGGGCTTCTAGGGAGTCTCGTTAACAGAGAGGGGGTGTCCCTTTTGCCCCTTTTCTCCCTTCCTCCTTCCTGCTGCCAAAATGTAGTTGTGATAGATGGAGCACAAGTAGCCATCTTGGACTTAGAGGTAACCCTGAAGAAACAGAAAGATCCTGGATCCCTGATGACTTCACGGGAAGACCCTATCAGCCATCTACTGTCTATGTCTGGACTTTCTTTAAATTTTTTAAAAAAATTATTGATATATAGTTGACTTAGTACATCTGGACTTTGTATATGGGAGTGTAGACCCTGTGCGTTTGAGGTTCTAGTTCGTGGTGATCTGATACTTGCAGCTGAATGTTATTCTTACTGGATACACCAAGCTATTAATCTACACTGAGAAAAGGCCCTTCCAATGACCCTGACTCCTAGTCACCCACCATCTAGGATACTTGGGTTGGGAATTCCCCAGAGGTCACGGCTGAGTATGGAACCAGCAGAGTCATGCCCTGGGAGGTGTCTAATTCTGAGCAGGGATGAGCCTGGGGTGTACTCCCTGCCCAGAGCAAGGTCCACCTCGCTCCTAAGCAAAAAGGATGCTCATGCTGTCAGACTCAGTGGTCCCTCTCTCCAGGACAGCAGAGGAGGAACATTCTTTGTGTATAAGAGGCAAGTTACAGCATGGTTGATTAGATGACTCTCCAACCCCAGGGAGAAACTTTCAGATGTGCCCCTCAGCCCAAGAGCCACTGTGCCCTCCATTTGGATGCAGGAAACACCTGATCTCCTTTCTTTTCTGCAACACTGACCCACCATCTCTGAAGATGGTACATTTGTCTGTGCTTGGTTGTTACATGTTAATTCTGCTGACCTTGAAGGGTGCCATGTCCTGGCCTTAGGCTCAAGATCTATGAATAGTGGTGGGCAGGGTGGGCAGCTGGGCTTCTAGAACCTCCCACCCATTAGGCCCTGTCTGGGTGACTGGATGGTTTGGGCTGCCTTGCATGGCTCCCTTTTCTACTCTGGCTGCTCCTCCTTATAACTCAGGGCATTGGGTTGTGACTTGCAAATTTGCAGCTCCAAAGTGTCAATCCTCTCCTGTGCCTCTGAACTCTGGCTTTCTCTGGCGCATGTGCGAGAGAGGAACTCAGTGGTCATATTTTGGTAATGTCATCTAGGGAATTATCTAAGCGCCGAAAGGGATGCCATCAGCATAAGTTGAAAGCATATTTTCCACAATGCAAAACCTCATTGTAGAAATGCATCTACCCATTCATCCGTCTGCCCAAAAACCCATGCATTCACTGAGCCAATATTTTTGAGGGCTCCATGTTCCCGGCACTCTGCCAGGCATTATAGATAAAGAAATAAATAGGAGATGGTTCCTTCTCTCAAGGAGCCCACAGGCACAAGGCAATTACAACACGAGTTCTATGTGCTAGGAGAGGGGAGAAGTCGGGTCTCTGGGAGCACAGAGGGGCAGCTACTGCAGCTGGGGGTAGTCTTAGAGAGGGGTCTTAGAAAGCTCCCAACTCAAGGTGATTTCTCAGCTGAGAGCTGGAGGGTGAGTGGGAACTGGTAGGAAGAGTAGGGGTGGGGGGTACTTGGCAGAGGAAGAAACACTTGCAAGGGCCTGAGGCCAGAGCATGGAGTACTCGCTGAGCTCCTTGGGTCTGGCAGATGCCAGGATGCAGGAAGTGATGAGGAAGAGAAGGGCAGCACCTGATCTATCTGAGATGCAAAAGGCATTTTCTTTCTTTCCTTTCCTTTCCTTTCCTTTCCTTTCCTTTCCTTTCCTTTCCTTTCTTTTTTTTTCTTTTTTCTTTTCCTTCCCTTCCCTTTTCTTTTCTTTTCTCTTTTCTTTCCTTTTTCTCTTTTCTTTTCTTTCTTTTTTTCTTTTCCTTCCCTTCCCTTTCCTTTCCTTCTTAAGTTTACTTATTTTGAGAGAGAGAGAGAAAGAAAGGGGCACGTACACACACATATTAGCAGGGGAGGGGCAGAGAGAGAGAAGGGGAGAGAGAGAGAGAGAGAGAGAGAGAATCCCAAGCAGGCTCCACATTATCAGTGCAGAGCCCAATGCAGCACTCGATGCCAGGAACTGTGAGATCATGAGCTGAGCTGAAATCAAGAGCCTGACACTCAGCTGACTGAGCTCCCCCAGACGCCCCGCTAAAGGCCTTTTCCCTGCAGAGTTGCACAAGTGTTTGGTTTGCTCAGGGGGGTAGGGAGGAGGAAACAATTCCTATTGTGAGTGTCCTGACCCCACAGCCACTCTCCAGCAAGTGTCTAATTTCTAGCTTAATCTTGGCTCCAGGCCTAGCTCACCTCCAAGGTACCCAATATTGGGAGAGCTCCCCTCCTGCCCCTGCCTGCCCCTCCCCTGCTCCCCGCACAGCCCGTGACTCAGCTCAGCTCTCCTTCCACGCCTCATCTTTTACAGAGGGCTGTTGGCCCATCACCCCCAGCCTTTCTTCCTGCTTCTTGTCCCTCCGGCAAAGCCGGTGAAGGTTTCCTTCTGGTCTCTGGGGCATGCTGCAGTCTTGGCCTGGGAGTGGCCTGACCCTGGTCAGGAGGTCCAGGAGGGCTGGAGGGGCCACTCTGCCAGGCAGGCTGTGGGGCAGCCAGAACCCCTGAACTCCCTCCCTTCTTTTCTCTGACCTTTCCCCAGGGTGGAGCAATCCCCTGGGAAACCGGTCCTCTTGGGTCCCCCGGATTGGCCCCACAGAGTTGGCCTTCCTGGCCGTTTTGGCTGACGAGGGACTCCTGCGGAAAAGGGTGGACAGCTCAGAACTTATCCACATGATGGGTCTGGCCATGCCCTGAACAGAGGGGGCCCTGGAGGCTGGTCTTCCTACAATCTGAACCAATTAAAGGGCAGAGCATTCATGTATGCTCCAAGACCCACAAACCCCCCAACTCACACAGTGCACACCACAGGCAACACACAATATACACATGCCCCACACTACACACCCGCCAGGCAACTTACATACACACGGACACAATGTGCAACCCAAATACAGTGAGCGCGCGCACACACACACACACACACACACATACACACTCAGATAGCGTACCTCCCACACAGTGTATCCACTGCCAGACGTAGAGAAGTTCGTGATACTCATCATGATGAGATGTTCACCGGGCCCATATGGTGCCAGGCACTGTTCTAAGAACTTCGCAAAAACACACTAAGCAAATTCTGACAACGACTCTAGGAAGTATTTCCTACCATCCCCATTTCCCGGCTGTCACGCTCCAGGAGAGAGCCGTGTCCTTGTCTCTCTCGTGTGTGTCTCCTGTTGCCATGACAGAACATGTTCTCTTCTGCTGCAGTTGACCTGTCAGCCAGCCACCCCCGGCTTCTCCTGCCAGCCCCAGGATGGGGCACGGTGACAACAGTGCCTCACCCAGGCCTCTTCCCTCCAGCAGAAAGAACATGGTTGCCACGGTGATGATTTTGTTCCCAGCTCCCCAAGGACACAGCCTGCCAGGACCCCGCTGGCTCCCCGGCCTCCTGATGCTGCTCAGCATGTATTGGCCGGTGAAAACATCAGAGACAGCAGGCCAGGCCCTGAGACCCCTCAGTGTCCTCTCTTCCTGGTCCTCTCACCACCCCCCAACCCCTGCCTCCCACCCCTCCATCCTCCCCAACACCTCTCCCCAGGCCAGAGAGACCCGTCCTCAGGGGCGCCCCAGTGCACTGAGGTGTTTGACTAGTTGAAATCGCCCCCAGCCCTCCCCCTCCCCCTCTGCTACCTGCTTTCTGTCTGGGGAAGTGCCGGGGTGTGGGAGTGGGGGTCCTGCCAGGGGCAGTGGGGCCTCTGGGGACCCCAGCAGCCACAGCCAACCAGAACTCTGTCCTTGGCAGAGAGCCTTGGGGGCTTATGGGCTCCTTCAAGTGGGACCTGCCCCTGCCCGGACGAAAGTTAATGAGACCTGGCTGGGTGGGCCGGCCAGGGCTCTGAGGCTTCCTGATGAGTCAAAATCCTGTCAGTCCTCCAGATAGGCAGAAGGAAACTCCTGCTCCAGCTGCCCTGCCTCCCCCTTGGCAGTGAGCATGGCTACCCTGATCCACCTGGATCTAGTGCCCAGCCTGTGGCCGTCCCCTGGGGAAGCGGGGAGGCCTGGTTGTGTACCACCCACCCGCGTCTTGTGCACTGTTCAACTAGGCAGGAAGTGTAAAGGATGTCAGCCAACCTCTCCTCTCCTATTAAAAAAATTTTTTTAATGTTTATTTATTTTTGAGAGAGAGAGACAGAGAGAGAGAGAGACAGAGAGAGAGAGAGAGGTGGGGCACAGAGAGGGAGACACAGAATCCAAAGCAGGCTCCAAGCTGTCAGCACAGGCCGGGCGCCCCGTGATACGTCATGAACCACAAGATGACTGACTGAGCTGAGTCAGATGCTTACAGCCTGTGAGGCTACCCAGCTCCCCTCTTCTCCCATTTTGTGTATAAAATGTAGAATTTAGGATTTTTCCTAAACAGGTGCCAAGATGTGGCAGCCAGTTTGGAATAATAGTAAAGCCAGAGAGCTGCTTGGGGCACCTACCACCTCTCGGCAGACAATGCTCTGTCTGCACCTTCCCCTGCCCCCGCCCTCGGTCTTGGGTTGCAGTGTCAGGGTCTGGTGGTTACCTGTGGGAGGGGTGGTCTTGGGGTGGCCCTCGGCAGTGGGCGAGGTCTTTGTGAGGCCTCTTTCCCAGATTGGGGGGGGGCTCCTTGTTCTACTGTCTCCACTGAGACAAAGCCCCAGAGCAGACCCCCCTCGGCCCCCCCCATCCACATAAGCAGGTGGCAGAGAAAATCCACCAGGCTCTGGCCACAGTCCGTGGCTTATTTCCCATTTCTCTACCTGGCCATGCTGTAGAAGGGCGGACAGGCCACGGGTCTCCCCTTCCCTGCAAACAATATATCTTAGCTCTCTGAAAAGCCTCTCTGGCCCGCTCTGGGGACAAGAACTCCCCCCCGCCCCCGCCCAGGGACCCCACTCCAGTCCTTTCCCTTCCTCTGGGGGACACAGAGAGACCCCTTGCCCAGGTTGGGGGGGTGTTATGAGAGGGCAGGTCTCTTCCCTGCTCTCCTTTTCTCTCTCTGTTCCCCCTCCTCCCTGTCTCCCCATCATGCTTTCCGTCTGGCCTCTTTGAAGGGAGAAGAAATAGGAGAGGAGAAGATAAGAGAGAGGGGGTGGGGAAAGGCATGGGAATAGGGAAAGGAGGAGGAAGGAGGTGAGAGATGAAAGAGAAGGGGTGCCCCCGGGGAAGGAGCCGTTTCCTCACCTCCTCCAGGTATGCGTTCAAATATTACTGATGGATTCAGGGCAGGCCGCCCCAAAAGATGCCACTCGGGCATATTGATTGTTTTCAATTAAAGTTACTTGAGAGACATCCGGTGCATGAAGGACACTCTGGTCCTCCCTGTTGGGCTCTACTCCCAACGTGGGGCTGGAACTCACGACCCCAAGGTCAAGACTCACATGCTCTACAGACTGAGCCAGCCAGGTGCCCCTCGTATTATTATTTATTTTAAATTTATTTTTCTCCTGTTAATCTGTCTCGTGTCAATTTAATTATTAGACCACCCTAACGATCTAGAAGGAAGAAGGGAGGTTTTCCTCCCCTACAGTTTTGGTGAGCCAGCCAGGAGATTTCACTGTCTGGACACCACTCGCCCTGGGGGGCTGCTGGAGCTGAGAAATCCTGGTGCTTCTGACAAGATAAGAATTCTCATCACGTCAGTCTCTAGGATCTCTGCCTGCAGGGATCTTTCTTTTTCTGAATTTAGGTTCATAGGGGAAAATACTTGTAGAATTATTTCCTTGGGTGTGGAGAGTCTGGTGAAGATTTGGTGATGAGTACACTTATTTACCAGTGATCCTTTTTCCTCCCAGATGTTCATTGTTTCCTTTTGTCTACTTTTTGACCAGGGAGAATGTTCTCTCTGGTTTCTCCTAGCCAGAGGATGCATGTGTATTTGAAAATAAAAGTTCGAGGGGGCGGGGGATGGGGAGGGGGAATTTTGGCTTGGTAAGTCACTCTATTCTGTCCAAAAGGGCGGGGGATCGGGGCGCCTGG